CCTACCTTATAAGGCTACATTTTCCATGGCTAATCCACGTAGCCTACACGTCCTTGGACAATATGGTCAATCCACCTAACCTGCACATCTTTGGTACACACGGTGGAATCGAACCCGGATCACTAGCGCTAAGAGACAGCATCTTCCCCAATCGGATCATGTAATTCAGGACAGATTCTGTTCGAATGCAAGTTCTTCGGAAACGGTTTTGTCTATGCTTCTGTGAAAACGTGCTTGTTTTCAAAACACTAAAACGCTGTTTAGCAATCTTACGAATTTGTGTCTTGTGTAATGTAAAAACAAAGCCCTTTCTCGGGGCGAATTGGAATTTGTAAAACCTGAAGCGCCCACACAATTGATAAATAATAATAAAAGTAAATAACTAAACGATAATGTGACATTTGATGTCATTTATTTTGCGGATAAACAAGTATTTAATTTTAGCCCAACTGAAGCTGCTTGTAAAATCGCGTCCCCGTGGTCTGTACGAGAAAGAAAAAAAGGCTTTAACAATAATCCTGTGATGTCCACTTTGTTGGTAGCTTAGTTTCACGGTGGTTTTGTCTGAGAATCTAATTATCGCGTGGTGTTTTTTTTCGGGGGGGAGGAAAACGACCAAAATTGGTTGGGGGTAGTGGTACAAAAATGTTCAAGGTGAAAACGGTATGCAATGACATGAATGTAAATGGCGGGGCCAGATTCAGGGAAATATTAAACTAGTTAGTAGTCAGGCAGGAGTAAATGTTAGTTCAGAATCAGATTCAGAAAGCCAGCTACAAAGCTCCGAGTGTATTGTTGGAATGGAACACTGGAGGATCAATTTGAATCTCTTCTCCAGTAGTATCCATATGCGTAGTTTTTTTAAAAACAGTTCTAAACGTCACACTTAACATTTAGCATCGGTTTAAACATGATACTTTATCTGGGATTAATCCCCGTTAGAAATGGCCAGTTAAAACAGGCTGAGAGTGAAGAATTTAGTTGCTGAAGAGGATGAAAAGAGACGAAGCAGGTTTGAACGAGTCACGGGCTCTTTGAATGTTACATTCTTCGTTGGATGTGCAGCAAGAATTGCTGGGATCTCCTTTCAATTTGCCCTCTCGATAAAAGAAAAGATGGTGTGACACGGATTAATCGAATGATGACATTTTTAAGGGAACACTAATATTTGGTTGTTGGTGTATCGGGGTGAATATAGAACAAAGCGTCTTCAATAAATACCACGTGTGTCGTTTGAGAAAGTTGGACAACTGACTTTTTAAAATTTTCAAATTAGCCGAATTTGAGAGTAAGGGCCGGCTGTGTATGGAGATTTCCTCGTCAGCATCAATAGCAATTGCAGCATAGGTTAAGTTAGCGCGTTTTGAACTTAATTATAAAAATAGACCGTGGCTGCAGAAATTGAACAGAATGGGTAATAAAAACGGAACAAAAAAAAGTCATTTGATTTTCATAGTACTGAAATACGTTTATATTCACCCATTGTAGACGTATTTTAACTACTCTGCCTAATGTCTGGGTCGACATTTTCAATATTATCTAAAAATATTTTAACTTCTTCCCCTCAATTGTAATTTAACGCTCCCAGATACTATTTTACCATTACATTGAATGCTCCTTTACCCTAAGCGAAACGTTCTTTCACTAACGTGCAGTGAATGCAACTCACTCAAATTGGTAGCTCAGGCCCCTCTTCCATTAAACCGCTATTATGTTTGATCTTTTGATGGGGGAGTTAACACAACGTTCGGCTGCTTCTCATTATTACCAATTAAACGACTGGAGGACGATCACATGCTTTAAGCCCCGCTCTCGGTGAATATTAGCCAAAGGGAATGTACATTATTGGAAAGTCTGATGCAGGCGTCTGTTGACAGTGCCTCACAGTACGAGATTGCGGGAGAAGAAAACAAGAGTTTGAACACTAAAACATTTAGGTGCGTCTGCCACAATACATGTTGATAGTGACAAGAAACATTGCCAATTACCTCTGCGTTAGTAGCATCGCTAGCAGCATTAAGACGACGCACTTCATGTCTGGCAACTTTTTGTGCCCCAGTTTCCTAATCTATGGAATGCCCATTAGTGTCCGAAAGCAGTTTTTAAGCTGCCAGAGTAGTTTAACTAGAAGCACTTCAATTACAAAGCATTGACAAAAGAGTCTACTTATTGCTGGTTATTTGCACTTGCATTAACGTATTGTACATAGGGGCAGTGCCATTCCAAGTCGTACTATGTGATGCTGTCACGTCGTCGGTTAATAGGCTACTCACATACAGTTTTGTACCTCGGGACATCTGCACTTGCTGTGTTTGAAACCCGTTGCCTTTTATTGACAGGAATACTGCACGGGAACAAAGTGGTACCTCTCCTCTCCCCTCCTGGAAACGCGGGCTTTAACATCGCACATGTCCCGCCTCATATAGACGAAGTAATAAGCGGACCGTAAATGCACAACGGAATAACAGGCCAATAACTTCTGCCATGAGAGTACAGCAGTGAGGGTTTTGTACAGACCAGCCAGAAAGTGGCTCACACTGACCTCCTTTACTGGTGTCAGCGGTGCCAGGTTTGGCTTTATACTTATTTTCCTCCTCATAATTTCACATTCGCAGACCTTGGAGTATGACTAGCTTTAAAAACCCACTGACGAAAAAATATCAGCGACTAGAATTGTATACAACATACTGTCAACCAATGTTATACGAAATTGGCGTGTCTTGTTACAACACCAACGAATCGTGAAACACAAGCATTTACTTGAATTTTCAGCAATTTGTCAGAAAGTCACAAATACCGAGGTCAGTGCCAACTGTAGACGATGTACATACTGTGATGTGAAATGTGCACAAATTATTACAAGGAGTCCGTGTGGAGTTTTCAGTTAAGGTTTTTATTTGTTTCCAGAGTGTACCTTACAATCTGACCCTGTCTCTACTGAATGTATTCCTTTAGTACCAAAAGAATTGGCGATTCATGGGTCTGTTGGCGCATCACCTTTACAGTACGTTTGCAAGCCGTTTCTCTTATTGTCCACAAGGGGAAAAAAAACGCAAAAAAGATTACATTAGATTGCAGAAGCAATTGCCCGAACCTTTCACGGATTTCAACTGTACATTTTATTAGCGCTGCGCACCAAAGGGATTTTCATGACTTTAAGTCCCCCTCTTACAGCTAGGAACCGCATTCCCTGTGTGAAGCCTTGACATAGGCGATGTGTGTAAATACACGTTGCTGCCTTTGATTCTGAATCCACCACGGTTTAAGCAAAATATCCTGGTCAATGAAGAAACGGAAGCACCTTCCTCGTCGCCATGGAGTCCCAATAATGTATATAACAACAATGTATCATTTCTTAATGCGAGGGAATTACTGGCAGAATAGGAGGACTCTCAGGTAATAGATTACATTCTCGCGTCTCTGCAGAAATGCTTTTTTTTCGACCAGTGCGTCTGGCTAAAATCAAACTGTTCATCTTGTGTGGACAGATCAGATGCTGATTGTGAAACGGATGTTGCCTGCATGGTGATATCCTGAATCAAGCGTATCACAGTGAAATAACAGCTTCCATTGAAACCTCAATCAAGGACAAATATTGCAGCCAATTTCAAGGATGCAATTGTTAACACAAAAATTCTTGAAGCCATTTTCTTCTGAAAGAAGCAAATATAATACGTTCGGGCCAAGCAGATAAACAGGAAAAAAAGGAAATGGAAGGCTATGGTGATGGGTGAAGTGAAAGGGGACAATAGAAAATTTGTGAAAAGCACAAGCGCTCGTATAGATCAGATGGGCCGAATAGCTTTTATTTTGTGCTACAATGTATTTGTGATTTTTGGTGATTTCAGCATAGATAGTGTCAATAACGCAAACGAATTACCCTCGATGGTTAATCTGCGAATAAATCTGTTACGATTCAAAATATCAGGTTGCAAGCCTGAATTATGGTGGCCTTGCCTTATTTTTGTAACACTTGTTTTAAAAATCTTTGCATCGTTAGTTCACGTTTACTTCATGAAAGGAATGCATTCTTTTTGACATATTTGGACATGCTGTTTTGGCAAGTTAATACATTTAAATTTCAGTGTGTTTTCATTCCCATTAATATGAGTCCAATGTATCATTCAGCAGTTGTGGTGATTTAAAAAAAAAACAACCGGAAATGTCTACATTTAGATTGGAACTCATCTTGTAAACCCTAAAGCATCACCTTAGCTCCGATTTACAACAGTGTAGTCAACAGGTATATCAACAGATTTGAATAATAAATTAAATAAATGATAATTAATGCATCTCGAGGGAAGTTAGGTAGGCTACTTTTCTGTATCTCACGGTTTTGTTCACAGTGTGTCTAACGCCGACAGAAGTGATAAAAACACAGATTCTGCAATTACATTTTGACCCCAAATATTGACTGGAACTCATCAAATAACCTTAATTACGACTTTTTTTTTAAAAAAGGCCATTTTGTCAATTTCTGAAGCAAAGAATGGACGAATTGTGTTCGTCTGCAGTATCAATAACCACCTCGCCCCATTGGTAGACCCTTATGAAACATGTTCCAATCTATAAGAGACAACGAATGGTTTAAGTTAATGTCACTTGTCCGCAGCGAAATCCAACTGTTCACTCAGGAACTTGTACCAAAATTAAATAAATTGTCAAGTATTCAGAGCGCGATGGCATGTTACTACATTATTTTGTTAATTCACAACATTTCACCGGGCGCTAATTATCAAGGCTGACGCGTTGTGGCGACTTTTACCTGGAGGGGCCTGGAAGCAGACATACAGTCTGTCCCAAACTCAAATATATTGCAATATGAAATAAAACTAGAAAATGCACTACAAGTCCAGTCACACGCTGAAAAGCTGGATGTAGCATTGTGAGCAAACGTGGACCTCAGCCCACTCTGAAATGGCTATGCATTAGCACTTGGTTCTGTACTGTTCTTCAGTGTTTTTTATTTAAAAGACATCTCCACACTGCATTGAGGTTGTACACGCTTTATTTACAGAAAGATAACCACTCACAGCACAATTCCAAACATGAGAGTGCTAACTATTTCTGTGTGGATGCCGGGATAAACTGACATTGCTTCCCTTATCTCCGGCCAACGTTAACATAGTGAAAGTTCATTTCCAAAGCGCTGAACCGCTGAGTTTAAACACAGAGGGCGGGCAGTCCCTCTCACGGTAATACTTGCTGACGAATAATTTGTGGCTTAGGTTAGAAATGCAGAATTGAACGTTAAATCTTGTCACACTTTATGAACGAGGTGATTCATAAAAACTGCAATTTATCGCTATATAAAATGCAAATTAAATCCATTTATTGCATCTGTGATTATGGTTAGATTCCGTTATGCGTCTAGATCATTCAACTATGCCGATTTTTTTTTTGTTAAACAGAGTAACTACTCTGGGGGAAAAACAAAATGTCCAGTCAATCAGGTCCTTAAAACATTCTTTCCTAGAAGCAGAAATACCATCTCTTGTTGTTCCGGGCAAGTCTATTAAAAAATACAAATTGGAAATACAGATGAGAGTTTATTACAATGATGGCCTCGACTTTTCTGCTATCGGATTTTTAATTGTGACAAACAATGGTATTGGCCGTGACTGTTTCGGGGAATACTGCAATATTTTACTCGTCTCCCTATAGACAGGTGGAGATTTTAATAGTATCTTCGGCAGATCGATGACAACGCGGGTACTACAGTAGGGAGGACAAGAGGGGGAATGATGCTTTCTTAAACACGCAGACCCTCGATCTCAGCAACGACACCGGAACTATACAGGTTTTAAAAGAAAATGCAAGGAAACGTTAGATTAAATTTGGGGTGCTGAACTGAACGATTTCCCACAATTGCTTCATTTATCTCCTGGTCCCACACTCTCTTTAAAATCTTCAGATCAAATGTGCGGTATTGCCCTTGTGCCAGACCGCCGAAAGCGCACAGTATTATTGAAGCTGCAATTATAAAGGCATCGCAATATTTACAAAGAAGCCCGGAACATTAGGCACAACTGACATCTCAATATAACATGGCTGTTTATTCTATCATGCTGCCTCATGTCACCAATTAAGACCACAAACAGCACAAATGACTAATAGCCTCGCACACTGCTCCGACAGGAGTCCACAATGTCTGGTGATGATTTCTTCTCTAGGAATGTGTAAACGTTCGGGATATGTCACGTTGTCCTGGCACATATGGGCACTTCACCCACTGCCCACTTCCCTCGCACCACCCCCCACCCTCCAACCTTCCTGCCAGTATGCTCCCACCGCGCGAAAAGCTGGAAGCCAAGTCTTCTGGCAGCTCCTCTCTCGAATGCACAATTTCTCTGTGAGTTGGGAGAACTACCAACTGTGTTGGTACGGTCTGATTTGGGAGCAGACGGACATTCATTTCACAGTTCAGCACAGAGTTCAGCCACAATTATACCCTCCCATCCCACTCCCACCCTACGGCTATGCTCTAAAGTAGGATAATCTCATTACACCTGAATGATGTTTTACACCGTCCTCTGAAGAAATGGTACAAACACTGGTTGAAAAAAAATGAGTCCAAACGACCAGCTACCTCCTTTCCGTCCTATTTCACATCTTCGCTCTCTTCGTCGCTATCTTTCATTGTGATACCTTGGAGGCCTCCACCATCGGACACCGATGCTGTGGCTTCTTCCACTGTCAAACGGGTGTGGATGGTTTCATATGCTTTACAGTTCAATGTCCCTTCTAAAACTCCTTGCAGCCGGAAGTCCCTGTACGATTTCTGAAGCAAGAAAACACAATTTTAAATTTCATATTGGCGATCACCAGGTGTTTTAAGATGCTTTAGAATCTGCAGCCTACAAAATATACCTAGGTGATGTTTAGTTTGCAAAGAGACAAGATCTCCCGCAGTCCAAAGATGTGCAGGTTAGGGTGGATTGGCCATGCTAAATTGCCCACAGCGTCCAGTGATGTGTAGGCTAGGTGGATTAGCCATGGAAATGTGGGGTTACTCGGATAGGGTGGGGATGGGTCTGGATGGGATGCTTTACGGAGGGTCGGTGTAAACTCGATGGGTCGAATGGCCCGCTTCTACACTTTAGGGATTCTATGATTCTATCTATTTCTGCAGATTTGTTGTACCGAATGATCCAGGGTCAATAGATGATTATATTGTTGTTTGTGAGAAGTTGTTGTATGCAATTTGGCTTCTACATTTGCTACATTACAAAGGTTAATGCACTTCCAAACTGTATCTTACATAAATATTAAGGTATTAAAATCTTTTTTAAATAATTTAAAATGTTAAAATAAATTACTTTCATTTTCATATTTTCAGTGCGATTATACAGTTATTGTGTTAACGGGACCTCAGCACAATTAATTTACTTAGTTTGATATGTCAATCTAAATGCTTTGTACCATCATTGGAACCTACATGCCAAATACCACAGGGAACAGGGCGAGTATATAGTCACAATGATATCTAATCTAAGCACTGCCATGACAATGCCAGGACCAATGCTGAAGGGAGGCGGTATATCGAAAACATCTCCGCTGGTTCCAAATACAATAGCTACACTTAGAGTGGCAGTAAGACATTTTCAGAGTCAAATCGCTGCAAATTCTTACCACTATGATGCTGTCAAGAATTCATAGTCAATTGCTCACAGTATTGACCAAGTTCAGAATTTCAATCAGGAGAGATAAGGAGTGAGTGTGATGAGAATGAGTGAGAGCCGAAATGTGGGATAGAATGATAGAGAAAGGAAGCTGGAATGGATCAGGTTCAGGTGGAAATGAGAGGTTGTGAGATGGACGAGAGAGAGACAGAGAGGAGGAAAGTGGAGCAAAGAGACAGAGAGAAGCAATAGGGAGTGATAAAGGGTGAATGGTGCAGATCAGAAGCAGGGTGGGAGACAGGCCAAAAGAGCAGGAGAGAAAGGATGCTGACAAAGTGCAGTGAAAAATCTTTTCCAGTGTCGCCACTCTGGCGTCATCTCAAATTAAAGGAAAAATAAACTGAAACGTAGAACGTAAAGGCAGAAAAATGAAGAAATCGAGAAAAAAACTTTACAATCCTTCTTGTTAAGGGCTGTGTCATGGGCCATGGGCTTGGGGGCCAGGTCTCCGCTGGAATGGAAGCCAACATTCTTTAGAGCCACTTTGTCCCCACCAACGCCCTTGCCACTATTAGTGCTCAACAGCCCTGGCCAACGCAGACCCTACCGATGCTGCCGGGTACCACGCCAGCCCAAGCTTGACTCCCAAGCCACCTCGTCGATGCAGCCGCTGCTGATGTCTTGAGGGTCTCCTCCCGGGCCCAAACCCGGTTCCGCCGCCACCTCCATGAATACTTCACTGGAAGCAGATGCGATCGGGAACCCAGACTCACCTCCGCTGCACCAGCCATGGGTCGGTGCTAGGGCCGCCTTGACAATGCAGAAGCGGCCGGGAACCCAAACAGTCTCCGACGCCGCTGGGAATACACACGGCAGAAGCCATCTCCATGACTGAGCTCTTCACCAAGAGGTAAACAAAATAAAACTTTTTAAAAAGACAGCAAAAAAAGAGAAAAGCGGACGGAGCGGACGAGCCCCAGGCCACCATCACCTTACTGGGTGTGACAGGAGGGGTGGGGAGGGAGCAAAGGCCAGGAGAGCATGAGAGGGGTGGCAGAGTGAGACAGAAATGCAAACGAGTGAGAGGGTGGAAAAGAGAGGGGACTGGAAAAGTGTGAGTTTATGAGAGGTTGGATCGAAAATGGAAAAGAAGAGATAGTGGGACAAGGAAGAAATAGGACGAGAGAGAGACAGTAGATAATTCAGGAGGAGGTAAGGAGGATGATAACCGGATAGGAGTTAAATATTCGTTTTTGAGAAGTGACACCAACAAATTAAAAATCACATTGAAGACAGAATCAAAAGCTCCCTTTATAGTAGGCAGATTAGTCCAGTAAATTCTGGCCTAGCAATGTTCCTTCTTTCACTCCTCAGCTATGTTATATGCAACTTTCATAGATTTTCCAACTTCTTTTCTTGATCAAATGATTACCTGGCTGACAGCAGTTGGTCAGTGTCACGAGAAGGGGTCTCAATCTTCCACATTGAAAGCAGTTGAAAACATTGAGCACCTCAGTGTCAGTGCACGCTGGGAGGAGGACAAGAATTCTCACAGAACGTTGGATTAAACAGAAATAACCAACGTGTGTACAAGAGGAGATATTGACATAGTGATAATGTCATTGGACTAATAATCCAGAGACTCAGGCTAATAAAGACTGAGGGGTAATTTGTTCAAATCTTACCATGGAAGTTGTTGGAATTGAAACTTAATCAAAAAATCTGATCTATAAAGTTATTCTCAGTAATGATGACCATGAAACTATTACTAATAGTTGTAAAACAAAATTGCTTCACTAATATTCTTTTGGGAAGGAAATTGCCATTCTAGCCTGTGATTCCATATCCATGGTGATGTGGCTGACTCTTAATTATCCCCAGAAATAGCACTCAGTTCAAGATAAATTACAGATGGGTAACAAATTCTGGCTTTCCCACATCTCATGAAAAATAGTTTTTCAAAAAAGAGCACAGCTAATCATCTGTGGTGGTGGATATTGTACAGGATGGTCCAATTAGTTTTTTTTTTCCAAATATATCTAATAAAACAGATTGTAGACAACAGAAGATATGAGAAGTGGAGGAAATATGGCTCAAAGGTGACCAGAAATTTCAAGCCTTCATCATCCGATTTAATGTTCACCACCGATTCTGCAGAGAGAAGTTGGGGTGTGGAAAATTGACATAAAATTCCATCTTCTGTTTTCTTCTGCTCTGTCAATTTCCTAATCAGGTAAATAATTTACCTTCAATTCCACAACGTTAAAACATTCAATCAAATTAGCCAGGCATAAGCTACCGTTAACAATATTACAGCAGAATATACACTTTGGAGAGAATTATGGAAGCCCACCAGAGTCAGATAGGTCCAGAATTTCTTCCCCATCACTTCACCCTGCAGTCTACTTACAGTTGTTGACTGCCCTATAGTAAGTCTTATCCCCTACTCCATTCACAAAGGTGGTCTGGTATCTATGGTCATTTGTATTCTACAAGATTTTAAAAATGCTGAGAGTCTGCCCTTTCTCTCTCTCTCCCTAATCCGCATTAACAGGCTGCAGCTTTCTCTCTGCTGATAGGCTTCCTGTTGGCCCTCCACCATTGGGAACCCATCCATTGTCCTTAATTGTCTAAACCAACAAAAATTGCATGTTACACCCAAATTGTCAAACCTGGAAGTGACTCTGAAATCATAGCCCAGCCACAAAACAAAATTATTCCCACGCACCATTATATCACTGCATTTTACAAGTCTACAAGATTGTATCTTAATCTTGAAAAGAAGCTGTTGTCTCTGTCCTCCCCTTACACAAGTACAGATCTGATCCTGACTTTAATCCTGATCATTAATGATTCACTGAGTTTGCCTTTTGAATAGTTGTTACTTTACTTCCAAATAAAACCTGTCTGACAAATCTCTCTTCTCTTAGCAAGCATGCAATATTACAATGTCAAGTATGTTGAAACACCTCATTGCATGAGATGCAGATAATGTCAGCGAGATGAAGGTGACCTTTGCCTCTTTTTACAAACTAAATGGAATTTGTCAGTTATTTGTCCTGTCAGGGTAACACCTTTAAATTTTTCCATGTGCCCTTTTGAGAAATTAGGGAAAAGCCGTTTATACCTTGACTATTTTTATGAGCGTCTTCAACTGGTAGAGATGGAGTTGCAGATCCAAACGGTCTGTCAGCCAGACACAGATGACTTTCATTGAGCTGGTGTACCATTGCTGCAGGAAGAAAACAAAATTTCTACAGCCACGAGAGCTAAACATTATGAATCTGAAAGTACATTTGCTTTTCTTTGTGACACGATTATTAACCTTGTGCAAGTCATAAACAGGGTAAGCCCAATCATTGGCTCTTTACTCATGGGCTTCTCATTTTAAACCACACAGAAAATAATTTGTCAACAAATTAAAAATTGTGATCAGAAGGTTAGTCCTCTTAATTTTTAATGTAAAGTATCTGTAGGTCAGGCTGGTTGACTTACTTCAAGATAAGTCAGATTCAAAGGAAGAAAAACATGCATAAACTTTATTCAACATAAATAAACAAATGCAGATTTAAATCTGACTTCAATACCACTTTTACCTGATTTTTCAAAATATTGCTTGGTTAAGCCAACTCAACATATGACCAAATCCAATATGACCAACAGGAAAGACAGAACCATTTTAGGTTGACAGCATCTTTCAGCTTTGGCGGCTAAGTATGTTGAGGTAGCATATACTCGCTTACTCACTTTAAGCAAGTGTAATACTTAACATACATATGTAGTAAATTTAGGCACTATGTAATTTAAAATCAAAATGCAATCTTTTAACTTTGCCATTATAGACATTTCTTTTGCAGTTAGGGAGGTGGTGGCATGTCACAGGACTGATAATGCCAAATCCCAGGTTAACGTTCTGGAGACATAGCAGATGGTGAAATGTGAATTCAATTAAAAAAAAAACTTGAATTAAGAAAAGAAAGCTTATCTTACGGTGACCAAGTTGATTGCCACAAAATCCCATCTGGTTCACTAATGTCATTTAGAGAAGGAAATCTGCCAACCTTACCTGCTCTGGCCTATATATGATTTAAGACCCATAACAATGCAGTTGAATCTTCATCTCACTCTGGGCAATTAAGGATGTACAGTAAATGTGGCCTGGGCAGTAACACCCTCATCCCACGAATCAATAAATTCAGCTAGTTACACAGGTCAATGCAATGTGGCCACCATACCACTCTACATCTGACTTGTCCAAGCTACTTACCCATTGTAAGATATTATGCTATAATTTAGAAAAGAACAAATAGGAATAAAGATAATTTGGATGAAAGGATCAGTGTTTTTTGTGCTCATATCACATAAAAAGTATAATTCCCTTTTAAACATTGCATCACCAAATTAGTCAAAAGCTTACAATATTTTTCAACCTATTATCATAATAATGACATGCAGCCATCTTAGGATATAATAGAATCTTGGTTGTGAGTTTCATGCAAATTTTAAATAAATACAAAACATATGGCTATACTGACCCTACTTGGGCTATGAGCAAACTGTCATTGTTAAAACACAATATTTCAGTATTGTAGATTCAACATACCATGTTTTGCTGAATTCCCCATCTTAGTTACTTTACCATGGGGAGATACACAATGCAAGCCAAGTGCTCCCTCACAGACAAGGAGCCAAAATCATAGGACTGTCCTTGACAAGGCTGTTACTGTATACTCATCTACCTGTATCTATTGGTTTGGCATTAGGTGACAGTGCAAGGAGGAGAAGCCTAATCTTTAGTCTGAACACCACTTTGAAAAAAATCAACAGTTTTAGGAATCTGAGAAGTTCAGATTTCCAAATAATCCATTATGTTTACAAGTGGTCCTCAATATCACTGCTGAACGACGCATTGTCATTTTAAGGTTATGTGCCCTTGTCCTGTACTCCCTCACATTTGCCAATTTTGTAGTACCATCAAAGAACAATGTGGCCCACAGTAAGTCTGACTGTGACTTGGATTTAATAAAAACAAACTGGTCTTTAAGCACCTGCACAGATCATTGAATTCTGAGGGAATTTCAGAAACACATGTCCATAAGGAAACATGGAATATAAAACGGCTATTAGGATCATCAAACCTGTTCTTAATTAAGACTATTTGCAGAATACTATCAGTGATTCCACTTCACTTGAAGTCTATAGAACTCAGACCCAGTACTGCAGCATTATTGAGTCAACTCTAGATAAAGTTTCTCCCCCATATTTGGAGGTAAAGAGCTACTAGGCTCAGAAATGTTTGTAGTTTTGGTTCTGTCATTTCATTATGACTGGTGTCAGGCCATGCTCCTGCCCAACCATTCTGATTGGCAATGCAGTTTTAGCAGATTATACAATTGATTGAGGCTTCTTACAGTCAGTTCAGCAGACTGCACAAATAGGGTGAATTTAGCACTGTACATATTCATTGAATCTCAATAACTGCATAATAAAGGACTAAGATTTTGATTTTAAACCTTAAATCTGCGAGTATGAATGCATAAGAAGAAGATTCCAGTTTCAGTACAGTTTCAAATTCAACAAAGATGAGGGGCAGAATTTAATACCCTTCCTCCTATTGAGTGTGGTGGAGGGGTGGAGGGTCATTTGTTTAGTCAGGTGAATGGGGACTCTGCTATCTTCCCTCTTCCACCCTGATTCCATCTGTGACAGGAAGGCTCATAGATGACTTTTCTGCCCTGTTGTCAGTTGAAATCATCAAACTATGGGCTGGGCAGGGGTGGGGGCTCACTAGGAGCCAACCCTCCTTCCTGTTACCTGGGATCCAGTCGTCACCTGAGGCCTCAGATATACCGGCAGTGGCCACTGCCTCCCTGTTGGCGCTATTGTTCAATGTGACTGCTGACCTCTGATCCAGGCAGGTAGGACATCTGCATTCCTCCCCGGGTCATTGATCCAGTGAAAGGCCAGCCCCTCTCCAGTTAAGTGCTCATGTGGCACTTAGTTCAGTGGGCACTCCTGAAAAGAGGCAACACAGGATCTTGCAGATTCTCCAGCCTGTGGGTGGGACTCCTATTGCTTCTGTTAAATACTGCCACATCCTTCTCACAAGAGGATAATTAAACATGATGGAGTCACTTACAATCTGTGATATATAATAGTGCCTGCAATTTAAAAAAAACTCATATTACTGTGTTGATTCTTCACTTATTGCTTGTGAGGCTTTGATTATCCACTTCATTTTCTGCCCACATTTCTCAAGAACCACAGGAAACAAGGAGAATTGTTGTGTTTGACACGGTGTGACCTCTGTATTTCTTCACACTAATTGTCCATGACTCCAGCTTGGCAAGTCACATTAGCAACCCATTTCCTCATCAAGCCTCCGCTCGCTTTCCAGTTCAGAAAGGTCCAACAAATCAACAGGAGCACAGAAAACAGAACATCAGTCTAATCTCACTGTTTAAGAACATTTTCTGAGCCAGTATAAGCGACGATATTTTAGAGACAGCTAAGAGGTGATGCTGGCGAGATGACTCAGGTGAATTCAACAATGATAAGCCACTAAAATGTTCAGAACCTTAGCACTCGTGCATTTTTAATAATGAAATGTGTCAACAGGGATTCAGCACTCTCAGGGTTGATGGCTTCTAATAAGTATGAAAATTACCTTAGCAGGTCCATAAGCACTCTCACTTCATCGTCTTTCTTTACTGCTCCAAACGCCTGCACTACCTCCTCCCCCTAACCTTTAGTCTTGAATTAATAATCCATTGCAATGAAAAGAGGTACGACATGAATGCCTGGCACTGATCCCCAACTGTGTGCAGCATTACTACAGGCACTGAAAGACACCCCACCCCCTCAGCACCTATTGTTGGTCGTCACTGACAAAGCCGGGAGACTGCACTTGCCTAAACACTGCAGCTGAGCCAAACTGGGTCTCTTGCAGCTGCGGAGGCTTCACTCACAGCCCACGAGCTCCACAATAGCAAGAGCAAACTCTTTGTCAACCCTAGACTCTAACAAGTATTATACAGAGGTTGTCATGCATGACAATAGAAAATGAGGTTTAGCAACATGTCTGTAGGAAGCTGCAATGAGCTAAAAAAGCAACATAACTGAACTGGTAATGAAATGAAAATGGAGCATTTAGTCACCAGGAATTGCATATGTTATATATTGTCATTCCTTCCCTGAACTATGTGTGTGTGCGCAAACAGGTGGAAATCATTTTATTTTAGATCTAGGTGATCTGTTTGCTTGCATTTTCCATGGGCCCCTCACACTGCTCGAGAGCTGCCACTTAACAAAGAATTAATTACAGCCAAATTTCATAAACACTCATTACATTCAAATTACTAGTGTCAGAAGAGGTTGAGAGCACAAAAGCCCATCAGCTTTCCTGCTCCTATTCATTGTTAGAGAGAAAAAAAATGACTTTGGTATTAGCCAGTCTGCATGGCTTGCTAGAGTGGTGGGTGCAGGAGCATATGTGATTTGTCTCAGTACAGTAACCAGAATGAGACACCAATAGAAACAGGCTGTGGTTAATAGAATTATTGGGTTTGTAACCACTACATAAGTTAAAGTGAAGCTCAGAATTCTGTACCTTGTGCTTCTATGCTTGGTTGAACATTTCCACAGGAGAGCAGCTAGCTTAGAAATCTAATAATAGATTGTGTACATTTTTGGTGCTAAATGACCCACTAAGCTTCCTACATGGTAGACAGTAAGCATACAGTTATTAAAAACGAAGTTGTCTTGCATATCTTACTACTGAAGGCTAACAGAAACAGGATACATGGCCATTACATAATGCATTGCATTGCATCTAATTGCATAATGCATGTTTCAGGCTCTTACTGTGGGGCTGCTTTGTCATTAAATTTTGGGCTCATGTTTTTCTAACTGCTGTTTCGTGCATGTGCTGCTTTCCATCAGGAGCTCCCAAATGAGGAATCACCCCTCCTATGTGAATGGTAATAACGTAAATGGTCTGAAAGGTTTCACAAACACATGTAGTAGAAGAAGTGGGACATTTGGCCCCTCAAACATGCTCCCTCATTTAATAAGAATAGCTAATCTGAGAAGGTTTTGAATTCCACATATACCCATCTGCCCCCAAGCTTCAATCCCCTTGCCTAACAAGAATCAATCTACCTCCGCCTTAAATGTATTCAATGACCCTGCCCATCTTGCCTTCTGAAGTAGAGAGTGCCAAACATAGACAAC